GCTATGTCATTACTTTATATTCAACAACCAGATTTTAATTCAACTCTCCCTCCAAGCATATATATTCAAAAAACTTTTTGTTTTTTGTTTTTTTTTTAAATAGTATCTTTGTTCAGAAATTCAGGATAAGSCTAGTACTCAACTTCAAAGGACTGAGTTGCTCATAAAATGCTTACACACTTCACTGACTTTGTGTGCTCCATTTTGAGCTTGGATTCAGCTGAGCTAAAACTGATCTCTACTATTATAAAAACAGAAGAATCATTTTTGGATTAATAACTGGAAAGGGGATTAAGAAGGCTTATTCTTTAACCAGGCACTGCTAATTCCCCTTTTCTCTCTYTACAACTCCGTTTTCCTACGTGAAWAACGTCTACATACATCACAGGAAAACAGTATTASTAAAACACATTACCCAACATGGAAAAAATATCTGTTGAACTGTGTTGCACTTGTAACACAGGCAATAGCTATTCTATTAAACTCTCTAAATACTGACAACGGAAGAAAATTCTTTATCAGCATTTTCAGYTTTAATTTTTTATTACTTTTTGCCAGAATGTCAACATGCAATAATTACACGAAAGTTTGAAGCTGTAGACCATAATGTATGTTGTTTAACTGAAAAAGGCACATTTCCTATGTAAAACGTTTGTAATMTGCTGTGTATATGGTTTTACATTCCTAAATAGAACTAGTCATAAACAAAATATTTTTGAATATTTACGGTTTTGTACAATAAAATGACAAATCAAACAGGAATCAAATGTTTCCTCCTCCAAAATATATATTCATTTATATTTGAATATAAGAGGTCAAACGAATTTGACTTATGGTATTTTATATTAGTGTTTATAAACAGATCTACACTATGATGTATAAAAATTCTCTATATTTTATATATACCAATTTATCTCTCTGTATATATTGTGTACTTACATTAATTGCACTTATGCTTAGATAACTTGGTCCTTAAAAGTTATAATGACTTCACTACACAAAAGTCAAATTCATTCACGAGGGAAAAGAAACAAAGCTGAATTGTTTCAAACTTTTTATCATGATGACCCATTTTTCTCAGAATGAAAAACAATGAAGTTGGATACCAAAACACAATAAAATTACCCAGGATTAAATTTTATTTTTTTATTATTTCTTATCTTCGATATTATACCAAAGCCTCTACCTTTGAAATTAACTGGTTATTATGGGGACAGTGATGATTGCCATATAGTAATGCTCAAATTGTAAGCTGGGTACCTCATGTTTTACAATTTATTCCTTAAATTTATTTTTATTTCACATATCATTTTAAAAACAATGTTAGAAATTAAGTGAACAAAATTCATTGTAAAACTCACATGTACAATAGGAGAATAAAAATCATCATGCATTATATAAAATAAGTACACATTATTTATTAAATAGTAAGCTTTTATTGGTTAGTTTGTCACTAGGCAGGTTTGTATCTATTTTGTTTGGAAATTGAAAATCTAATTACTTTTCTACAGTCATAAATAAAAATTAGAACATTCTATATGTTCATCAATAAATAAGGCAAAATAAAGGAAGGCAAGAAATGAAGGAGCCAAAATGTATGCTAGCATTTTTCCCTTTCTGTCTTATAAAGGGACAGAGCAAAGGAAAACATCTCATAAACAGATACCAATCTTGTTTTCTTYACTACTCACTCATCTCATTCCAATACCCAGTTTTAAACCTGGTTATGATCTAATTCTGTACTCCTGGTAGGCTAGGATTCAATTGAGTTAAAGATTTTTAAACTCACTGCCAGTCAACCTTATCATGAACTTTCATTATGTGCATGTAATTAATTGGGTCCAATGAACAATATCAGTACTGAGTTATAGACTTTTTCCCCCCCACCATATAATTAGAATATAATTACCCACAGGATATCAGAATGATGCAAAACCTTTCCTCTAAATGTGCCCTCATTAGGAAACAAGTCTCAATGTACATTTATTCAATCAGTATGAATTAATTAAAATGTTACTGAAATAAAAGAGAGTAACATTAAAGTGTATCTGACATCTATTAAAAGACTATCACTTGAGATCTGCACACAGTTTATAACAAAACTCATTTAACTTGAACAAAAAACTTCACCATACAACAAGCCTTATATGAAGTAAAAAGAAAAGTAAAAAGGACTAAAGTTGACAGGCTATATTTTACTGAAACATTTAAAATTACTGCAGTGAGATATGAAAAATCTTTATAAAACATTGACCCTAGACAGATATGTGATGTTTTCATGATGCACAGAGTATCAGCTACATGAGTTTACCCAGCTTCTTTTTCAGCTGACAGCGTAGCTTATCATATTTAACATCTAACAAGCTCTATTTTGTGCAGTTTTGAAGATGGGAGGACCATTATTTAACTTAGATCAGCCATCTAACTTTCAGGTGACGAGTCATTTAGGTTCTCTCTCCAGCCTCTAAGATTGCTCAGCTGAGAGATAATTTTGGTACCACTGGTATAATGCACAGGGCTGTGAAATTCAATGTATGTAAACGTCCTTTAACTGCATARAAATTGTTGAGGCTGGACTTCACAAAAACTGAAGAAATGAGACATGAGAAATGTTGGATGAAWAAGGCAAAAATATGAGTGTCCCTAGTTCCGCAAAAGAGAAAACATGAGAAGGGATTTAACGCGTACTCTTGAAACAAAACTTAGAAGGCATCTTGTTCTGAGATGAACTCAGAACTTACAACTTTCTGCAAGACATCTGGACTTCCAAAGCTACAGGTGGAAGGGAAGGCCAACATTTTTCGGAGCTCAAAGATGCAAGATTTTTCATCTTGCTGTTTTCCCTATCGTGTATGCGAGAAGAAAACCCATTCTTCTCTGACACCACACAATACTCAAGGATAAGCCKGGTACAGCAAGCATTATGGTTATATACTTTTATTTTGTTTCCACATATTCTTGCAGCATTGCAAGAATATTATTTCTCAGCTGATCACTAAAGCTAAATGTGACCCAGATGAAGGACCCTTCCACTGCCAGGATTGTGTGTCTGAACAAGTAATTTTTATTAACAGACACGCTTCCTATTGCATGTTTAGACAGTTTTGACAAGGATATGTTCACTGGTTCTGCTGTCATTATTGAGAATGCTGATCTCAAATACACTAATGTATTATGCTTCTCAAAGGGAATCCCCATAACAGGAAATGGGAGACACTAATTAAAAAATTACTAACACAAATTATATGTACACTATAACCAACCACTGTTACAGGGAATTACTATGAGCTAGGTCAGTGAGGTAGCATTTGAACATAATTAAACTCAGGATTTTAATGTTTTTTTGGAATAAAGTACTAGATGAACAACTATCCTACAGAATTATAGAGTCCCCATTAAATCACAGTAAAATATATTTTCCATTCCTAACAATATAAATTGTATTGAAATACGTCTCTTGTGTTGTATTGTTAGTAACAGGATTTAAATAGAGGAAAGCATATTTACTTCTACTTATGCCTTGAAAATTTGGAGATAAAACCTATTGAAGGGTGATTTGACTCTAGAGTGGTTTTACATATCCTCTAAACAACTTTACTCCAGTTGTGGAATAAAAATCTTAATTCCTCATTCCTCTTCCTCTCCTGAAAAGAAAATGTAGTTACGCCAATATAATTGAAGATAAAATTCCGTACTCAGGTTTCATTCCCTCTATACCAATGGCAAATGATAAATAACATTAAAATGAAAACAGCCCAACAACAGAATCAYAATTTCCAGACACAAACTTTTAAAGTATGACCTCAAATCCTGAAAATTAAATAAAGTAATATAGAATATAATCACCCAACAAACTTAATATACTGTTTTATTACTGTCAATCAGAACGTGTCAAGATAGTACCAAAACACCATAGAGACAAACTACAAARYCACTCTTGTGATTTAAAAAATATTYAAAATATTTMATAAAYATTTCATAAATAYTAAAGGCAGGTTTCCATTGCTTTACCTTCATTTAGAGTAATAGTATAATCCCAGTTTACACAAGCAGAGGGCCAAAGTCTAGCATCTGCTCCTKAGCAGATTTATAAACAAACAGCCAAAATGATTCATTAAAAAACAAATAATTTACAACAGGCAAGAATAGGATTACTAATGATCAGCAACTAGTTTGAGATGAGGATGTATATTTTCTTTTTTTGCCTCYCCTCAATATATTGCACTTTCTTAAGCTCAAGCATTTCTTACASTTATGAAATATATTTAAAGAGGACCAGTCATCTGTTCTCTTATGAATATGATGATGCTATGACTTTCATCAGCATAAAATATCCAATTTAATATGTGAATACATAAGTTAATTCTCAAGCTCTTTTTTTAATGATAAAATGGTCAGCTCTTTTCTATACAACCTACACATAGTATGCATTTTTATTTTCATTGAATTGAGTTATTGTTTTTGTGGACAGAGAAATTTACTGTCCACGACTGCAGAATAAAATATACTATAATGTTGATGCATAGCTTACTGCAAGACCAGTGTCATCATTCTAGGTAACCTCCGGCTTAGATCAGAGACCTCAGCATTGCAGATATACAATGTGCATCCCAAGCAAAAACTGCCCATAAGAATAACTTCATTATTCTGGGAAGTTGGATCTATAAAAGATGTAAAATGTAGAAGTGTTCTGCCTATACAGTTTCTGGTAAGTACAGTCTGAATAAGTGATAAAACCTGAGTCAGCTTCAGTTATAATATGCCCTRCAGAAAGTTCATTCTCACATGAGGGAAAATGCAATATGCAGAGGGTAAAACACACTTATGCCTATAAAGCAATCAGCCAGGATTACACATGGTGTTTAAGGTTTACAAAGTCTTGTGAATTTAACAAATACCCGGCAGTCAATCCCAACAGTGACTTTTGTCAGTTCCCAGCAGTGTTTTAATGCCACATATGAGAGAGGATTATATCAGAAATCAACGTACAGACAACTCACCAACACTACTGGGCAGATTGATGTGGGTGGTAAAATATGGTCCTTCAAAGGTCCACAGTCACATTCAGGTTTCAGATGTGAAGCACACTTGTTATGCAACTACATAAAGACAGAAAATGAAGATTCAGCTTAGACATTTCACTCTTACAGTAAGGAAATGGGCATCCTAGAATGGCGGGAGTTTCATTAACCTAATTATTACTAAATTATTAATAAATTATTACTAAATTATTACTAACCTAATTATTACTAAAGTACTGGAAAGAAAACTAAGTTTTTTATTGAAGAATGATGGATTAAAGTATTTTCCAGTTTGCAAATTGAATGTGTGGATCAGCACACAGAATAAGAACATTGCATGGTAGTACAGAAACATCAGCAACATCAGCATCTGGTGACCAGAACCTTCATTTCAGAAGAGACCTGCTTGCACTGAGCCAGGAACTTCTGTTCTCCTACCAGTGAGTAACTCTAGGCAGCTTCTGGCACTGTTGCTGTATCAAGCTGATAGCCACTGCACTTTCAAATAYAAGAGAAGAACATAGGAACACCCTATGTTAAACTTCTTTGGGTAAATTTTGGGTGTGATTGAATCGGTATTCAGGTTCCCATTGACTGCTGAGGAACCTAAATTACTCTCCTTTCTARTTTATTCTTAGCATTCATCCATTTTTGTTAAAATCAATGACAATARTTGTACTCTGAAAACATGAAAAGAATATCCTCAAGTCTGCTGACTGGAAGAGCATTGGCTTACTTCTGTTTTGTTACAGAGCTTGAGTGGACAAATGTGGATATAACAAGAACCTAAAACAGTAACAAGTAATGGTAAATGATGAAATATTTTGAATTAGAAATCAAGAGTTTTTATCCATAATTTAAAATGTAACTCTATTYGAATGTCTCTAAACATTCAGCCATGGAGTACAAATGCACAGTTCTGGGCTTGGATCATGCAAAGCATTCACATTTAATTGGTGTACTTCACAATACCATTAGAGATAGTCAGAATTTTAAAAAAAAAAAAACCTCAATATTGTGAAATTTTTTGAAAGTTTAGTTTTCTGGACTCGATGATCTTAAAGGTCTTTTCCAATCTAAATTATTCTGGATTTTTATCTCTGCATTTATTCAATAAAATGCATTAAGGAAATACCCATTTCCCATAGAGATGGACATTTTTGAAAACATATGCACATTTACAGTAAATAAAAATAATCAGGCTAATAAATAACTCAAGCTGTGAGGTAAAAAAATCTCATTAACAAGTGATTAAACTAGTATAACAGGTAGCATACAGCATCAGTTCAATAGGTTCCAAAGCTGTTACAAAACCTGTAGTTCAATGTCTGCATCTATAAATCACATTTTTTCAATGACTGACTCATYTTCCTTTAAATGGTTTAACTCATATGAACTCTATTAAAATTACAATAAAATTGCATCAATTGATGATGTATATAAACTTTACCAGTAAAATGGTCTTCATAACATTATCTGGTACTGTTCTTTTTGACATGACATTTCTGAATTTTGAACTGAATGGCACCTAATATTAGCCTTGTCCATATTCATTTGCACTGCAAAGTTACCTTTTTAGGCAGTTACTTAGCAACAGAAAATAAAAGTCTAACGAGTTTCGATTTACTCTGAGTATTAAAGCCTTATTGTGAGGGTATTTTGGTAGCCCTGTAATCTAAATCATTTGTCATGCTAATTCTCTGCCTCAGTGGTAAGGCTACTTGTACCATAATTAATGCACACCAGGCCATGTTACATCAAATAAAAGTATCTTCACACATTCAGTGGTAATTAGCAGCTTTGCTACTCAGTGGCATGCAAACTTATCTATGAAAAAATAGCTTAATCTTCTTATTAGTTTCTGCTGATCTCTGACAAGAGAATTGGCACACAGCAAATAACAGAAAAGGTAGAAGAAATGTAGCTTTAATAAAAATAGCACTTTGACACAATGAAATAAAATAATCTGCATCCCTTCTCAAAAAGACTGAATTTAACATGTTTTCAATATATTTCCCCAAAACTGTCTTACCCTAAACTTAGCTCCTGTAGAATAATACCTTCCTCACAAACCTGAATGCAGGAAAAAGTGTATTTGCTGGACAGAAAATTAGGGGGAAAAAAATTTATGTGACCATGGTAGCGAACTATAAGTTATATGGAAGAGGGATCAGGGATGTGGCTGAGAAGTCAGAATAACAAACCTCCTTAGTGAAAAACACTTGTAAATTTTGGGATTTGAATGAGTTATTTGACATCAGAAGTGACCCTATTAAGTTGTAAGGACAGATATTTAAAATGCATGAAAGAGGCTCAGAATTAATTCTGTAATAGTGAGCATCCTCTTCGATTACAAGCTATAAATGTGTGATRCAGTCAATGGAAAAATGTATGAAGGATTTTATGATAATTACATAACTTCAGAATAACCATTCCAAAATCATGCATCTCTTAGAAATNGAATGTCTCTAAACATTCAGCCAGGGAGTACAAATGCACAGTTCTGTGCTTGGATCATGCAAAGCATTGACATTTAATTGGTGTACTTCACAATATCATTAGAGATAGTCAGAATTAAAAAAAGCCCTCAATATTGTGAAATTTTGTGAAATTTTAGTTTTCTGGATTTGATGATCTTAAAGGTCTTTTCCAACCTAAATTATTCTGGATTTTTATCTCTGCGTTGATTCAACAAAATGCATTAAGGAAATATCCATTTCCCATAGAGATGGATATTTTTGAAAAGATATGTACATTTACAGTAAAGAAAAATAATCAGGCTAATAAATAACTCAAGCTGTGAGGTAAAAAAATCTCATTAACAAGTGATTAAACTAGTATAACAGGTAGCATACAGCATCAGTTCAATAGGTTCCAAAGCTGTTACAAAACCTGTAGTTCAATGTCTGCATCTATAAATCACATTTTTTCAATGACTGACTCATTTTCCTTTAAATGGTTTAACTCATATGAACTCTATTAAAATTACAATAAAATTGCATCAATTGATGATGTATATAAACTTTACCAGTAAAATGGTCTTCATAACATTATCTGGTACTGTTCTTTTTGACATGACATTTCTGAATTTTGAACTGAATGGCACCTAATATTAGCCTTGTCCATATTCATTTGCACTGCAAAGTTACCTTTTTAGGCAGTTACTTAGCAACAGAAAATAAAAGTCTAACGAGTTTCGATTTACTCTGAGTATTAAAGCCTTATTGTGAGGGTATTTTGGTAGCCCTGTAATCTAAATCATTTGTCATGCTAATTCTCTGCCTCAGTGGTAAGGCTACTTGTACCATAATTAATGCACACCAGGCCATGTTACATCAAATAAAAGTATCTTCACACATTCAGTGGTAATTAGCAGCTTTGCTACTCAGTGGCATGCAAACTTATCTATGAAAAAATAGCTTAATCTTCTTATTAGTTTCTGCTGATCTCTGACAAGAGAATTGGCACACAGCAAATAACAGAAAAGGTAGAAGAAATGTAGCTTTAATAAAAATAGCACTTTGACACAATGAAATAAAATAATCTGCATCCCTTCTCAAAAAGACTGTATTTAACATGTTTTCAATATATTTCCCCAAAACTGTCTTACCCTAAACTTAGCTCCTGTAGAATAATACCTTCCTCACAAACCTGAATGCAGGAAAAAGTGTATTTGCTGGACAGAAAATTAGGGGGAAAAAAATTATGTGACCATGGTAGCGAACTATAAGTTATATGGAAGAGGGATCAGGGATGTGGCTGAGAAGTCAGAATAACAAACCTCCTTAGTGAAAAACACTTGTAAATTTTGGGATTTGAATGAGTTATTTGACATCAGAAGTGACCCTATTAAGTTGTAAGGACAGATATTTAAAATGCATGAAAGAGGCTCAGAATTAATTCTGTAATAGTGAGCATCCTCTTCGATTACAAGCTATAAATGTGTGATACAGTCAATGGAAAAATGTATGAAGGATTTTATGATAATTACATAACTTCAGAATAACCATTCCAAAATCATGCATCTCTTAGAAATCTGAAACACTTTTTTTTTTTTTTTTTCTGTAATAAAGGAACTACTATTAGAAAATTAAGTTACTGCAATGGAATATATTGAATACAGAGAACTGCAAGCGATGTTTGAAAAATAATTTACAGTGTTAAAAACCACTAATTTTTCACTTCTGTGTCTAATTTACATCTGAAGCTATAAAAAGAAAAAATTAATAAATTTATTTGAAAATACAGAATTACTTTGTTAAAAAAGAACATTTAAATTGCTGATGGAAATAAATTGAAAAATTATAAACCTTAGTGCCAACATTTTCAATTTCAGCTGTCGAAAAACACAGACCCACTTCTAATTGGAATTTTGACAGCTATTTAGGCATTTAAATAAGCACAAAAGCACCCAAGATATTTTCAAAAGAATTTAGCCTTTTCCTTTAGAGTGATTTCAATCATAAATAATTCCACAAGACTTCTTCAGTGAATAACAGCTCTTATGAAAATCCTCTGAATCTTGATGTACAACTTCAAGGAGTAAAAGACCTTTACAAATCTGGACCAGATTCATATGAAATAATGGGAAAACAATTTTTACTGAGAAACTACAGAATTTGAAGCTTTCTTTGACTTTAAAAGTCAATCTATAACACAATATATATTTCTTGAACGACATACACATATTATACAGATGTAAACACTTCTRTATCTGTAGCAAAATGCCCTTATTTGTCTTGCTAAACACATATAGCCATTGCCTAAGTTTAATTATCTGCATGCAAAACATTTTGGATTGGATGTTTTACTCTTTACATAAATTATCCAAATTTTGACGGCAATCTGGACTACATATTTGTTTTCTTCTAAAATTGTTTTTTTTAAGTAATCAGAACAGCTTATCACTGAAAGTATCCTGGATCTRTTTTCTTTGATGATGTTTCATATTTTGTATTCTTGTGTTAAGAAAATATGTCATAAAACATCCGAACTTGTATGCTGAAAACAAACATTCACGAATGCCTTGGTCYCATATTATTATTTAAAGCACTGAACAAACAACTGCTGTTCCGTAACAATAGTAATAATGATATCAGCAAAAGCAGCAAATACACGTGAAGAAGGTTGAATCTCTCCCCATTTAGATTTAAATCCTGCCCTGGCTAGAAACAGAAATACTGGCATTGCTCTTTCTAGCATGAAGATCTCACTTATAAGGGCAGTGTTCCCTGAATGTCATTAGTTCCAGTTACTGGTTCCTGCTGAATAAGGAGTGCACAAAAGTTGTATATATTTGACTTGGTGCACAGATTAGTATATTATCAACTTGTCTCTGCTGTTATTCCCAGAATCACTGCATCCCACCAGATGTCCTCAATTTCATTTGCCTGTCAGAACATCACCAATTAGACCAAGTGTCACAGTGACCTTGATTTTTCCTGGTACTGAAAACTCTACTGTAATCTTTCCATAGTGTAGACTGGGAATTCTGCTCTTTAGTGGCACACACTATTTTCATTTGGATACTGTCATGAAGCAAAGTATACCTTTAAGCCTATTTGCTTACCACAATTAAAAAGTCCTAAGATTATTCTGCATATACCATTCCTTAAACACACACTAGTCATTGCTGATGACTAAATTGAATGAGACATTCCAGATTATGAGGCTACAGAAAGACATTGAACGATTTTTATCTCTCTAACTTGTGTGAAAGGTTTCACTATAGTATACTCACTGTAATCTGACACCAAACACAATGAAGTCCAGTCAAGCCTTGGTAACACTTTATAGTTTTGTGACACTTATCACATTTTGTTGGACAGTTTCCTTCCACCCAGAAATGGTGCATTACCTGCAAAAGAAAAACGTGAATATGCATAGAGTTACTAAACTAACAGGTAGATGGCAAAGTTAATGCTACCCCAAACTTACATCAGTATTCTTTTTAGACTTCACGTATGTTTTGATGCAAGATGCAGGAGCTCTGGAGACACAGCGTTCATGGACTGTRTACTTGCAAACTGAAAGAAAGACACACGTCATTAGATGTTGAGGCAATGGAGTTTCTAACATTTTTATGAAACAAATAACATTACCAGCATGTCATCTCTAAATAATCAATCCAATCAGTCAATGAAATCTCAAACTAGACTGCTTTTTCCTTGGAATACAAAAGGCCAATTAGAACAGGAAATATTATGCAAGTGAGAAATCCAAGAATGCACTCTCATTGCATAACAGGAAATGCTTAATTAAATCAGACCTCACTAAATTTTTTCACAATAATTCCCAAATGACAAAAATATTAAAGACAAATTGGTGACTGCCAAATGGTCTGGTGCCATTTGCTAGTGGGAAGRAATATATATTTTACAGACTATAAGGCATGAGAGCAGCGGGCAAGCACAAAAAAATAAAAGYCAATGAATTTATGTTGTTCCTCCCACTGATTTACAAATCTGAAATGGCTGATTAGTCCACTTTCAAATAGCAATTGTTTTCATACATTCCACATAATCACCATAACTTTAACTCTTGTTTTACAAAATACCAACTCCTAAAGATTTTTTTCCCCCTAAGCCCTCCAACACCAGTCTTAGGTAACTACTGCTGCSGACCAGGACTGTAAAGATCACTGTGGCTGGATTTGGGCATACAAATGTCCAATTTGGGCATACAAATGGCACAATGCAAAGCTCTCCTGGCTTCAATGGTACAAGTGTGCCCAGATGAAATAATGCTACAACTTATGCCTGCATTCAATAGAGTCAACTATTAAAAACTGAGAATGAATTTCTCCCTGCATGGTATATGTCTCACGCTTTTGACCTCGAGAGCAATTAAGCACAAAGTACTTCTAAACACCTTGCTTGCACCTATTACACAAACCCAGTGGGAGGCGCAGCCATTAATCAGACAAACTGCAGGGAGTAACATTGTTGATTGGACCATGGAGGGATGGTGAGGACCCCTGTGGTTCCCTCCCTTTTTTTTTTTTTTTTCCTCCCACACAATCTAAAATGCAAATAATGAAATCTATAGCAATGCTTTCAAAATATATTGGAGAAAAAGCTTAGCTAAATCAGGAAATAAAGAAGTAGTTTTGCAAGTAGACTCATGCTTCTTGCTGCATGAAGTAAACTGAAAGGAGCACGTGGATGTTCTTCAGATACCCTGAGACCATTGTTGTCACAAAATAAATGCCAAGCACAATAATAAAAATATTTCAAGAGGAACACTGCAGCAGACAAAAAAATTACAGCTCTTGCAAGGCTGGTCTTTTTGGAACAGTTTACGTAACTGATCTACCCATTTCTGAGAACTACTGAAGACAGTGATCTACATCATTAATTCAACAAAACTCTCTTTCCAACATGTATGAGTCTTATTTCTTCACAATATGTCTGACATAAAAGAATATTAAAGAATGTAACATTTCAAAATCTAATAGTCAAAACAGCATTTTATATATACATATATATCCCATTTACTGTCATCAGCATTTATTAACAAAGTTATGCAATTTCTATTTGTCTGAATTTCATTTCTCATTTCTTAATATGGTGAAAGAAATTACATGATGTTAAAATGCATAAAAGGAATTGCATCCAAATTATATTTTAGATAGGCCAGTGGCCCCCAGAGGAGAGAAATGGTCAATCATGCAGGCTAATCTCAAATTAAATCAATAGAATTCTACAGGCAGAAAGGTCCTSATCAGCTGGGAGGGGCTAACTTTCATACCAAAAATGGGGAAAGCCAGTTACGCTAAGAAACTGATTATTTTACCAAAAAAGAAAAATGAAAGGTGACTTTGTACAATCAGGACAAGAATACAGTCGTGTAGTAAAGATTTCATTAATCTAATGGAGCAGGGAATAACATGAAACAATCACTGGAAACATCCTTTGACATATTCAAATCAGAAAATAGGTCTTAAAAAACAAAGAACTAATCATTGGAGCACACCACTGGAGACAAGGTATCTTTCAGCAAGCCTTGGTTTCCCAACAGGTACATTATGAGGTGGTTAATATCAGGAAATACAAAGATAAAGCTCAAGGAATGGAAGGTTAGTAACTGCATGTAATAGTCTAATGAAGGTCAAAGTAGATGCAGTAGCTTTCCTGTGTTCCTTTCCTTAAAATCTATAATCAATTTGTAGATTAAGATTTATAACTACAAACCAAGTAACTATAGAAAACTTTAGAACTGTTACAGAAACCTGATTTCTGGGAAACTGGGATTTTCACCTTCACAACTAACAAAACAGCAATTCTGTGCAAAATTTGAATCAACAAACATGGAATTTAGATGTTTGTCAAGTTGATACCTATTGTGCAATTATTAATAAAAACAAAAGAGGATTGACAAAAATATAAAGGTAAAACTTCAGCCTGATACTCACTAATTAAAAAACCCCAATAGTAGTAAAGAAAAAAGTGACATACTCCAAAGGGAACTAACAATGATAAGCCTTAAAAACCAGAAAATTCCCTCACACAACACATTTTAAAGGCAAATATCCCCCCCAAAAAATTTAAAAAGAACCTTGGTCACTCAAGCAGAGAACACAAGGGGGAGACCCTACTGCAGTGGCAATGATTTTGTAGAGGAAAGATACTAGTTCTTTGTTATACAGCAAGAAGAACATTTCTTGGAATAAACATGTAAGCAAATGGACACTGAAATGCTTGTACTCACAAGAACAGCAGAGACCTTGCTTGCCTACTCCAATCAGCATGTTCAAACAAAGATTACAGTAGGCAGGCTTGTTGAAGTGCTTCAATCTCCATACATGCTGCCCATCATCTTTCACATTCTGTGCAGGACATAAGAGAAACAGATTTCACTTAATAAAATAAACAATGAAATATATAAGTGCCAATAAAAATTGGAGATGGACTCAGGAACATAAAAGACAAGCTGTTACTCATTTAATACTCTGCACCAGATTACAGCACAATCATTCTAAATACACAGGCAGCGACATGATTAAAAAATTCTTCAGAAGCTCATGGACATCCATGTGTTTCAAAAACAACTAAGAAAAAGCCACCAGGCTGCTGTCTCCACTGCAACACAAAGATAATTATATTAATAATTTTATTTCATTAAAAAATTTTATTAATAATCAATCAATATATCTAGGCTGATATGAAACTACAACTAGTATTAAAAACAAGGTTGTTTTTTTTTTTTCTAGACTAATCCTAAAAAATAAAGGCGCCATAGGCCAGAAGATAAAACTCCGCAAACCAAACAATATAAAGGGTTTTCTAAAACCACACAGATCTTCTGAATGACTGTCAGAATTAGGTATATTTATTAACATGTGAAACAGGAAAACTAACCACACCACAATAACTATTACCAGCTTTAAATGAAGTTAATCTACACTACCAATAATCTATCAAAAGCTATGTATTTAAGGGTTAGATTTACATCTTAGACCTCTTCTCCAAAAGTGGAATTCTTTACATTTAAGGCCAAATTTTTCAGTCAGCTCTTTCACCACACTCAAAGCTCTCATGAATAAATTGATCAGCTCACTGGTACTTCCAACTTAGGGGCCCACTGTAACTCATGTGAATCTCTAAAATATTATTAAATAATTTATTTTTATGAAAGTAAGGTTTCTGTTGGATGATTCTCCTCTTCTATCTTAATGGAATCATTCTGAGACCTCCCTGTTTTTTGAAGGTTTATGAAATGATGTTCACTTGGTAAAGAGATAAAATTAATTTTCTAAAGTCCTGGCTTCTTGGCAATACCAGCCATCAGGCTTTTTTCCTTTCTACAATCATCAGAGGTTTTGATTCTAAACAAAGCTAGATGAATCTAATGTAATATCACTTGATTAAAAAAAAATCTTTTACCAAATATAACATCAAATTTTACACAAGCTGTTAATGTCCATCAATTGGAAATGGGTTGCTTCCTTGTGTATTGCTGAAACTCTGTAGTCTCCTTGGTCATGTCATTGCCAAAAAGAAATTGYCACATAGCTAAAGGAAGTCACACCAATTTCTGTTTCTCAGAAACCACAGCAACAGCTGTTTCTTATCCAGTTTCTGTTTTCTCACATCAAACTRCTATTATTTGTTGTCATGTATATATAATAGTCTTGACTCAATTTTCAATAAYATGATGGCTTTCACTGATAAGAATAGTCAATATAAGTCAGTGGGCATAAATTTCAATAAAAATTTAGTTTTGCCCTATACTAGCATATACTGTATGAGTTGTGCCCTTAAAAATCAGTRTTGCTCTACTCTAGGACTTAGAAATTAATACAAGTCAAGTATGATGAAGACTTCTTCACCCTTGTGGGCAAAAAGAAACATCCTGAAGCAAAATCAGCACTAACAAATTAAGAATATTTGGCTCAGATCAGGGCACAACAGAATACCTAGAAGATACCTAGAAACAAAAAGTTAAAGCTGTTTTCTTTGGGGTTTTTTTTGGTTGGTTTTTTTCTTTTTTTTCCTCTAGTGAGATATCAGGCCYAGAGCATAAGTAATAGCTCCCCCAATATTATCAGCAGGAGTTCAAATGCCATCTCTGACAGCTGGGCAATGTCAGGGTCCCCTTTCTGCAGAAAAAGCACAGCAGATGCCTAATGTGGGATTCTCAGGCTGGCAAAGAGTGTGGAAGTTTTCCAATTTCCCCTGAAGAAGCAGAAATAGATTCTGCAGCTGTGAAGCACTAGAAGCCTGTCAAGCTCCTTCATGACTGGCAGCTGAAGAGGATGTATTTCATTAAACAGAGCTCTCTAACTTCTATTTTTCTTCCCATCTTACTACCATATTCCACACATTTTAAAGTATTGTTAAACTACAATGTAGTATGTGAATTTCAAGTCTTCTCCAAGTAGGCAATTATTCACGAAACAAAAAAKATCGTGAAAATCCTTCTGAGAAAAAACAGCAAACCACGTACACTTCAGTTTTAATACCACTCGGGTCATCAACAGATACAGTCACAAACTGCAAGAACTTAAAATGTGAGCTGATCAGCCTTTTCCTTAGAAAAATACTCGCTGTTTATGAAAATTAACAGAAATTCATACTTCTGCATAAACTTACCCCTCATCCACATTAATTTTGTGTTACTTTCTCATTTTTATTTTATTTTTAAAGAATGACCATTACATGTGAATATGTCGCTTCTTATTTGAACAGAACATATGGTCTAACTTAGCTGGCATTTTCCTTATCAGAAAAACAAACAAGTCTTGATGTGGGTGTTCTGCCAATTAAAACACTTAGCTGTGTTACAGACTGCAACTGATGCAAATCCATTACATAAACACAATGCACTTTTGGAAAAGAGCAAATTAAATTTTTGCTCTTGTGCACTGCCAAAAATAAGCAATAAAATGCTGCATATGATTATGCATGCATATAACTTTTTAAAACACTGTCAGGAGAAAAAAAAAGACATAATATGAAACAAAGTCCYCTCAATGAAAGTCTTTAAGTATAAATAAACTCCACAATTCTGACACATCAGTGCATTTACTGACATTAACTCATTTTGTTTCCATATCCTGAGAATGAGTTTAAAAAAGCAAACAGACATTAAGAAGATCTCAAAGCAGGGCAGGTACAGTAAAAATCTCTTCCTCACTTCATTATACACATCACTGAAAATCAAGCCTCCATATGTCATACGCAGACTTTAAAACATAACGACAATAGTAACATTTATTTTGTTAACAACGGTTCTCTTAGCTCTTGGTCCTCACCCTGCTACTATGGATTTGATTGCCTAAACTACCTGACCTTAAAAAGCAAGTCAACCATAAAAGAGCCAACCTTAGAATCAGTRGAAAATTTTATGCTACCACAGGCTTTAGCTACACATCCCTAACCTGGTTTCATATTAACCTACACCAGCTTTTTAGATATTTGTGTATAAAGGTAGACAGGGATCTTCAAGATTTTGAGAGTTAAAACAGGCAATGAAATCACTGACAAATTCTGATCCTAGCAAACATKCCCTCTTACAATAGCTACAGACTGKCTAAAACACCAGAATGTTCTGCTTTTTCTATGAGAAGGATCAATAACAAGCATCCAAGTGAGAAGGATGTTAYGGAGTAGCTGTTATTCTTTTACTGATTGTTTTCATTTATTTCAAAAACGTTTGCTTGTTTAAGACAATTTTATGACTGATTTTTAGGTATTATTCAGTCAGTGGGAAGATGAGAAGAACTTCCATGAAACTATCCAGCATCTCCTTTTAAAACAAATACAGTTACTTTCTATACTCCTTTGGTTGGCTTTCAGCAAAGAATTCATATGAAGTCTGGTTTTGTTCAATTTGCTTTGGGAAGAGACGTTTTTAAGTGTCTTCTTGGTCAAGTGGGGAGGGAGTAATCTGACTCAAGAGACCTACTSTTTGGGGGTTTCCTCACTTCTAATTTCTGAGATATATATACATGTATTTTGTGTGTGTATGTAGAAAGGAAAACAAAACTAAAAACTTCCAATGCCTTCATCTATGCACTCAGAAAAGGCACTAGAAGAGGAAAAACTAAATTATTTTTAAAAAGGTTCATAAATAGCCACAGCATGAAGTTTCCCTGCTCAAAATCTGTAAACACGTCATCTGCAGAGACTTTGATGCCACAGAAATGAAAACTGTAAATAATGTAAATCTGTATACCTGCATGAAATATTTATACACAGAAGAGATTAGTAACTCTCGACTTTTCCTGGTCTTTTTTCTCAACCTGGAGACGAAAGCAGAAGCGGGACTGATGGAAGGAAAGGCATTTGCGAACTCCCCGCAAGCAGCGGGAGCGGCAGAGCGCGGAGCGGGCAGAGCGCTCCGGGAGCGGCTCCGGCAGCCGCAGCCTCGCACGGCGGGGACACCGCGCCCTCTGCGGGCCCGCAAAACACCCCGGGCCGSCAAAACTGCTCCCTGAGCCCTTACGGGATCTGCTGGCAGCCGGCAAGGAGCGGGCACWAAGGGAGGGAGTTACAGCTCCGAGAAGCGGCTCGAGTTTGCCCTCTGTGTGTATTGAAATGCACACTGTGCATGGGAACTTTCAGCCTGTTAGAAAACTCACCCGCCGCAATTCTGAAAGGACTTACAGAAATGTCATTCAGGATAATAAAAGGCCTGACTGCCCTTCTCCCTCGCTGAAGAAAAGAAATTGAAGTCTGTGACAGTGCCCAGGTGTTGAGCAGTCATTTCAAGCTCAGCCTGAAGGGATTACTCGTGGCATGACAAATCCCGTTCCAGACCTAAAAATGTTCGCAAGTCTCTAGTCCGGCTCCGTTTTAACATACAGCTCAAAAAGTATGATATCCATAATATAATACACAATGTCAGAGAAGTATTTCCCATGTGTGAAATCCCCGCTCAGACACTCCGTCCCACATTTAATCAAAAAAAGTTTAAAATGTGGCTTTTAAATTATTTGAATGCAATGACATAATATTCGCCGCTTCAGGATCCAAAATAAAATTTTAAGAGTATTTCCTTACAATTTAAATGAAGTATAATCACAATTCATCACAAATGTTTGTCCCATCTGAATTTACGTCGTTTTTAAAGCGAACTGGGTTGCAAAATTACAATTAGTGATTTAAAAGAAATACATATTGGCCTGATTTCAAATTATTGATGACTTTATRAAGCATCTACCGGTTTTCAACTTCTCTCACCTTAAGGCAGCTTTTCAGCAAATGTAGTGTACCAGGTACAGTGCAACCCTGACACCTAGTGGCCAGTGGACAGGGAATAGAACACTTCCCTAAAATACAGGATTTCTTAAACACTTGCACTTATGAACTCGCAGTTTATACTTCTCTTTTTTTCTGCAATCACTGACAGAGGTGATACCAATAGTTTGCTACAGGAGACCAAATATCTGCCATGGAATTACTTGAAAAGAGAAATCRAGTGCTTCTATCAAACCATGGTGGAGTAACATTGTGCACCACCTACCAAAGAGCAGATTACAATGCTTATGACTGACAAAACCCATCATTAGAGGCCTTTTGAGMACAGATTACAAAGGAATTTTYAAGCGATGCCAGAAGAGTCAATGAGGAAATTCTCCACCTTCTCTTACAATGKTAATCTACTTAAATTAATGCAAAAGCAAATGAACAGATCAGAAACTTCAAAGGTTTCCACTGTGAGAAGAATAAATAGCAGAGTGGTTACTAATGTGCAATAAACTACTTCCATAAAAAATCAGGAGTAATGCAGGGATGCCTCTGTCCAATTTGTGTTTGGGTGGAGGACTAACTATTGTCTTATAATGCAMTCAACAAAAAATTTCCTCAGACATTTATTGCAAAAACTACACCGCATAAGTAAAAATTTCCTCTGTAGCTAACATTTTCTTTTTCTCCACAAAATTCTCACTTTACATAAGAGAATTTATTGAAAGAAAATCCATGAAACTGGAAAAAACTAAAGAGTAAGCATTACTTTGGCTTAACAACAAAGGTTTCAGTACATGCCACACAGAACACATTTAGAAACTGCTAATTGGAGAAGGGGTAGTCACCCAATTACAAATGGACTATGCAGGTATTCAATTCCAAGATTCTAAAACAATTTACCAGATAGCATGTGTATCTATCTCAGAACCTCTACAGAAAAAGAAACAATTAAGTTCTTAAATTTCTTATCTTGTACCCAAATTGTTTGTTTAGAACATCAACTGCCTTCAAAAGCACCAAAAATCAAATATGTGGTTTCTATGCTGGAACATTCTCAGAGACAGAACTCTGTATTTGTAAATTCTACCTTCACAGCAACTCCAAAATCAAATCTTAGGAAGAAACAGAACATAAAACCCAGCAAAATAAAACAAACTGGATATTAAGGTTGATTTCCTAGGGAAATGAGACTTTTTTATGTTCTTTGTCCTATTATCTTCATGACTCTAAACTACGCCAGCAACTTCTAAATTAGTTTAATAATCTCAAATAAATTTGAAGAGCACTAGAAATTTCAGGAAAGTCTAGGAAAAAAGCGGGGGGGGGGGGGAGAGAAAGAGAGAGAGAGAGAGAGAGAGAGAGAGAGAGAGAGAGAGAAAAGAAAGGGAAATCAGCCAGATTTCCTCATTACTTCTTCGATTTGGTAACAGGTGTCTGGCAAATACTTTTTTAGTAACTTTTAGTAACTTTTTTAGGGCTAATACTCTTGTCTCTTTCAGAAAGAGATTATGCTGAGGACAGAGGGCAAAGGCCACAAACCWGTGAGAGGTTAACCTATCCCAACGCCACTGTTCATAAACACTAACATGTTTATTCTTTTGTTTTTAAATAATATATCCATCTATATTTTTCAATTATTCTGACTAAATCATCTAATACAGTATGTAATAAAAACTGATTGAAAGGCTTTAAATGCAATATAGAACTTTTACATTATATCTGACCTTTCTATATAGCCATTACAGGATACTAMGGATTAAGTACAAACAGTGTAGCTGAATTATAAAAGAACTATGACAAATCTGAAATAACTAATGATAGCTTCACTGATGTTAGCAGATCAAATTAGACTGAGAAACTTCTATCGTTCATACAAGCTCTATACAACAGATGAGTATATTACAGTGTTATTGGATCCAACTCAAAAACAAATTAAACATTTCACTGTTGTCATAATTCATTCAAATAAACTATAGTGACAATTGTTTGTCACTATCATACTAGACGAGCTCTGAAATTGACCTCTTGGATTTAAAATGTTGTCATTGTCGAGTTCAGCAGAGAACAAAACTTAAAAGGTGACAATAGTTTGGTTGGTGGGTTATTTGCGGGTTTTGTTTGGGGTTTTTGTGATTTTTGCTTTAGGGATTGGGGAGGGAAGGCAGGAGGAGTAGTTTTGTTGTTGGTTGTTTTCCTCTTTTTTTCAATATAGGAAGATTACTTGGCAATGTCTAAACAACATAATCCAATAGGTTATGCCCCTTATTTTAACATATATTYATGTTTCAGGTTGAGAAAACTTAAGCTATCGGTACTTTTTTTTTTTATTAGTGAGTCCAAAAGATTTTTATCKTACTTTTCACTGCACAACTAAAAGGAGAGAGATAGACCAAAAAGCAGAGTCCTGGGAAGCAAGGTTTGCAAAATCTTAAMAATTGCCTGCAAAAAGAAATAACAGCATCCCACTAATGGGAATGRTGCACTGGACTGAAGAGCTTGGATAATACATGAGATGCGGAAAAACCATCCAAATCATGCTATCAGTTTACACTAAATAACAGACAGGCATTACAGTTTTAGCTTTACCAATTTCACTTTTCAATGTCCTAAAATACACTTTTATWTGAACAGTACAAATGGAAGTGGTATATTTTTGCTGTTTTACTGAAAATAATAAAAATTTTKCTTTTCTCTACGTATTAGGGGAATGGTTTAAAAAAATAAGCCATTTTAAACATAGAAAGAAAAATCGGAGACCTTTTAAAAGGAGGTATCATATCCTAGTGAATCATTAACAAATTACTAACAAATCAGCTCATATGTACGTAATGGACTTCACGTAAACTCTGTTTATTGATAATAAACATATTTTGCATGCTATTGTAATATTTTTTTCCCCAAGTGTACATTTATGTCTGTTAAATGCATCAAATATTAGTAAAACTCTTGATGGGAGAAACACTGATCCATGCTGATAACAGGCTGTAGAATTTTGATCACTATTTTCATATTTTTTGTGCTTTCRAAGTAAAGCTCTGCATAGCAAGGTAAATATCTAATAACTAGTAAAAATACTCAAAAGGATAAAAATGTTAGTAACACAGACTCTTTCTAACAGCTTTTGCTTTAATATGAAGATTAACTCTACAGAATGATCTGCATTAATTTACACCATGATCAAGGAGTTTCAAACTTAAAAAGAATGAAATGTAGACCTGAAAAATACTCCTGGAACACCTAAGCTACCCATCATAAAAGAAAAATCTGCACTAAAAATCACTACCAGTTATTTGCTACACTGCTTGTTTGAGAGCTCTTGCTGCCCCTTGTTTAGAATAATTTTGTGGAAATAATGGAATTCAGCCTGACAAAGAAGAATTGTTCAATGACAGGGAAGTAATTTAACATTTTTTCTTACTCAGTCTCACATACAGAATYAGGGAATTAGTACTTAGATTGATCCAGAGACATTGAAAGTTATCTTCAATTCAGATAATTTACTTGTAAATTAAATAATAACATTTTGGAAGACTTACAGATCTTCTGTTCAACCAACTGGTTTGTAACATATTTCCTTGCACTAAGTATATATATTTTATTTGTATTCTTTGTGTAAATAAAATACCATAGAGCAACTACAGTAGTCTAGATTTAATTCAAGCCATAGCACTAAACAGGGAAAATAAATATTACTTACCATTTTAAATATCAGAAAATTACTTAAGAAAAGATGAGATTAAAATGCTTTCTTTCTAACAGCAGAAAAACATTTGAAACATAAGCTTAGATAGATGTGTTCAAAATTAGCTCAAATACAGGACAGCAGATGGCAGTGACAACATGCCAATCTTAAAGCAGCTACATTGAACTGGTACAAAATTGATCCTAATACATCTGTATTATCCTAAATGGGAATTAATCGTTCCCAATACCCTTTGGTGTACGTGTTCCCCTTGATATTGCTTCTTACCATTCTTTATTAAGGTGCTTACAGAGATGTAAGGTTTTCACAGGGATGTATTGTGACAGGATAAGAGCCAGCAATCATTGCTGCACAAGAAATTCCATCTGCACATAAGAACAAAAGCTTTTCCCTTGACAACAATTAACACAGGGAAAGTTTGCCCACAGARCTGGTAGAATCCACCTCACTGGAATTATTCAGGCTTGGCAGGGCCCTGGATAACTCAATCTGTGGCACTGTCTTTAATGAGGGACTGGAACAGAAGATCCCCAGAAGTTCTTTCCAGCCTAGATTGTTCTGTGCCTCAGTACAGTTATGCCACACAACCCAGTACTGTGCTGAGAAGCCCAGACCTTGCTCCAAGCCAGCTGTAACGTACACATGGGCACTAAAACACTCTTAACAGACAAAGCTGCAGAGCCAGTTTATTAGTGAGTGCTTCAAACCAGCCAATAAATCTCTGATGTTCAAGACACACTTTGGTTCTTTGCATGTCATTCAGCCACAGCAAAGAGAAGTAAAGCAAAGTCATTTTTATGAAGGCCACAGAAAAACTAACCCGAAGGCCACAGTCAAGGTGCAATCACAAACTTAACACTATTAATTAATACTTACATTTTCTAACCCAAGAAGGACCAAGAGTGGGATTGTTGTCATCCCTCCTTGGATCCATTCTTCTAATGAAACAGTGCCATCATGATCATAGTCAATTTCTTCCATCATTTCATGGAGAATCTACAAATAAATAAAAAAATCTCTTCAGTTCTAATATAAGCAGCTTGTTAGGACATGCAGATCTCCAATTCCCTCACAAAAAATATAAGAAAAGTATTACTTGCTATATGGTAGCTGTAGTAAAATGGACAGTTCAGAAAATAAAGTGTCATATTCCTATTTACATTTTATTAACACCTAAAGTTCCCAAACCAACTTGTGTCTTTTGTACACTCACTTTTAAAACATTTTCAGAGACAAACCAGTTTCATTATAAAAGTTAATTATTAAATTTATTGAATGTTTCATAGATCAAATTTAACGAGCAAAATAAAGTGCCATAACAGAACACAGCTTCTTRTTATTTCTACCCTACTAACCCATAAAAACCACATAAGGATATGAAATGTCACAAAATTATGAAAGCTGTCTCAAGAAACATTAAGAAATTGTGATAATAGGATACTTACTGGACTTAATTCTGTAATATCCCATTCAAGGTATTCTGCAACATGCATCATTTGAGCAATAATATTTTCAAGCTCCTAGAGATGAAAGAAGAAATATGATATTTAATGTAATGTTATAAAGAAAAATTCTACTGCAAGCAGCTAATAAATCAACCATTTTGCATTCAGTGACACTGTTCCATCAATGCCCATAATGGAAGCTCAAGTGAATCTTTGGTTCAGGACAGCAAATCATCCTACATGGACCACAAAGCATTCAGGGAGGTGAAATACAGCCCCACAATCAAAGTAATTGAAAGAAGTCATAGATTCTTCCTGCCCAGTTATCTTTCAACTGTTCTCACAATCTGATTTTCACCCTGTGATACAATCATGTAATGACCTTCAGATTTTAGCACACTAATGAACGGCACTTGTATAAATCACAACTGTCTAAGAGAAATAAGATACGAAGTGGATTCTATAAACTATTAAAGATATATGTTCTTTATGTATCCCTAGTGCTTTTCTATACTCTATATTTACACACTTTTACTTTGTAAACATGCTCAAATGCTTACGAAGAATCATTCTGATTTCTCATTTGTATCTAGTTATCTAACTCATATTTGGCGTTGCCTAAAATTATGATACTATATTTATTTTACACCTAACTTTACACTAAATGATACACAAGTATRTAATTTAGCTTCCCTATTTCCCTGAAACTTATGGGAACCATCTCCTCTTCCTTACAAACCCACTCTATGCTGTCTCCTTTCCAGTAGAGACAAAATAAGGTGAAAAAAAAACCCAAAGAAAAAAGAAAACAGAGAACACTGCTAATAAAATACTTGTTTTCATTAGCTATCAGAAAAAAGTTACATATTCTAAAATTATTGTCATAGCTTTGACTTTTCTTCAAACATTTGGTTGGGCTACTCCTCAAAACTTTGCCCTTAATATTGTTCCTCCATTCTTATGACAACGTGGAACTTATGACATCTCTCCCCATAAATCTAGTGTGTGCCTCTCACCCTTACACTTTTTAATGAAATCTTYACAAATGGTAATTTCATATACATCTCCCAGCAGTATACTAGAATTATTGGAATCATATTAATGTGTTCCCTACAGTAATATGATTAAAAATCAGAGGACTCTAGAATAGGACTCCATGACARCAGTGTCAGCAATTGAAAATTTATACAGTTGTAGAAGCAGCAGCTTATTGGAAAACTCAAGATTTACTTTTCAAACAGATGAATTTTTATCAACTGTATTTTATACTRCTTCTAATAATTCAGGATAAAAATTAACTTGATTTGAATTAAAGTASTTTTGTTTAGTTTTGCCATGCTGCCATACTCTTACAGCGCATTAAAATATCTGATATTACCGAACTATCGAGGTATCCATTCCCATCTGTGTCATACAAGCGAAACATAACTGAAAAGAAAACAGAGAAGGAAACTCAGTTACAAAATATAACACATGCATCTCTTTTTCATTTAAAAAACAAACAAAGAAGAGGAATCCAGAAGCCTACAAATACCCCACTCTTTGTCATTACTTTCAGGGATATCAGAGCTCTGAAATCCAAATACCCACTATCCTTTTCAAAAGCGCAAATTTTTCACCCCTACCACTATTTTTCAGGGATGAAGRAGTCAACCCATATAAAGCTGGTTCCAGGACACTGTAATGCCTCCATTGACAGCAAAACCCAAGTAATCTGCTTACAAATTGTCTAATCAGATGTCTCTGGAAACATAACATGATTTATTTAACACTAAGGAATCCCACCATATTGGATCCATAGCAGATGCTGTTACAGTCTAAGAAATTCCACAAGCAAAGCTTGTACTAGTTTTCAGGAAACAATATAATGAGAAGAGCCAATTCTTAACAATTAGAAAGTAAAGTTCAGAAAGAACTGGATCATTTTTGGACTTACAGCAAAGCATATTTAACTGTTATATGGATTGGCTTGCTTGGCTTATATCCTCCATCTTGGGAATAAGTTGATCATCTAACTGTGGAAAAAAGGTAAGCACTATGCCTCTCTACCACTTCAGCAATTTTTGCCACTACATTGCACTGCTCTTAAGAGCTGTAAYATGAGATTGATGATATTTACAGTAGTGCACTGTTTCAGGCCACAAAGGCCCATTCTTCATTACTTACAGGTTAGGAAAAACTATAAAAATATCTTTCTTTGCCTAGAGTTACAGAGCGAAAATGTTTCCGTGTAAAACAACAGTTAATGCCAAAAGCCCCCAGAGATCGGTACTATCCCTAAAGCTTCTCAGAGCTTGACAGCTAACATTATCTGGCAAAGGTACCATTAGGCATTCACAGTTTCCACAGGGATGAATCACTGAATCACTCAGTGATAAAGTTAAAATCAAATCTCCTTCCTCCTCCTCTGTGATTCTTATACATTGGTTGAAAGAGTGTTTTAGCATCTCCGTGATCTTTATCCATTCCAGAGGAGTAGTGCTCACAGCTTTTTTTCCTTTAACATGACTCAGTACTTCTAATAAGCCATTCTAAACCAGACATTAGAATAATTATAACTGTTTCACCTCTGTAGAAACAAAGTCTTTCCAATTACATCTGTATTGCGCAGCAAAAAGCCCAATCTGTGCTCTTGGCTAGATTCTGAAAACTATGCAACTGGTGTGGCCTGCAATCTCTTTTCTATTCATACCCTGCTAAATATTCATGTTCTTGCTGATTTACACACTCTGGGAGAGAAACATCCAAATCCAAACCAACAACAAAATGACAATAACAGCCAAACAGAAGTTCTGTTGCAAACTACAGAGCCCAAGCCAATTTTCATATTTCTTTGYCCATCCTCCTATCTGGTAAGACCGACTGGCCACTCAATTTGTATTTCTAGATGGCAATATGACCATAAAAATAACTTACATTCTTCAAATGTGTCTCTGTGCAGAATGCTTGGGATCTTCTTTATATTCAGGTCATACATAGATTATGAATAATAGATATGCTGAGCATGTCAAACAGGTGAGGCTCACACTACATTCACACTCTAAAAATGCACTCTTAATAGGTTAAAAAATCCATCTATCTTCTAGAATATTTAAAAATCTATGAAAATCTGTAGACCATATAGATCCAAAGCCTAACATTATTTTCTCTTACTGGAATTTATCCTCCAGCCTATATCAAATTTTAATTGAAAGCACTACTTTCACATTCTGCTTGTCCTGAATTAAATTTTCAAGCACTCAGCTATGATTCATTTCTTCCAATTTCAAAAYTGGAAAAGAAATGAAAAAGAAATTTTAAAAAAATCACAATTTGAATTTGGTATTAATATTAATGCTCGCAACTCCAGAATAAGCCACTTTTCTTTTTTTCCCTTCACTGCTACAAACTTATAATTTACATKACAACCACAGTTGTTTAAACTGTTTAAAGTTGTTTAAATTCTGTTTTAACAATTCTTTAAAATTCAGAAAAAGAATTAAATTATACCAGTAATTTATAATGAGAATTCAACTGAAATCAAGAGAAAAGTGTGCATACAATAGTGCATTATACGCTGAAATTTWGATACTAAAAAGCAACAACATGTGTTATATTTCAACTCTGTATGACTAAGATAATAAACTTATAAAATAACCATGCCCAGAATTACATGTAGTAAATGCAAATGACCTTGAACACACCAAGTATTTAAGCACCATACACATATTAGATCATGTTCTCTTGCTCCTAAATCATATCAAACACATTATTTTGCCCATGTGGCTCCTAYTGCAGGAAGCTCATGGAAAATCCCCACACTATAATTATCATCTGCTCCTCTGTCTCTCCTCCTATCCATTGTACCAATTCCCAACACCAGAGGAGGCAACTCATCTCCACCTCACGCCGTGGATTCTGCATGGAGCTCCTCAGCACCTTTATAAGKCTTGCATAACTTGCTCACATGTAGCAGTTGTTACAGTGTAGRTTAAATTCAGTCCGTGGATCTTAGCTTTTCTGCACTTGAGTTCTGAATGTGCATTCATATACACATTCTCATTTTCTAATCATGTGATACCAAAACAACATTAACAAATTTGGGGGATGGCACCTTTTATTTTATTTTTCTTTTTCTGTGATCTTGAAGAACGAAGTTGCCACTGTAAGTGAACTACAGGCAACAAAACACCAAGATACTTCATAACATGTAACCTTGCAACGAATTTCTTACTCTGGCAGAAGCAGCCCACTGTTTCCATATCCTATCATACTACATATTTACTTTCCATATGAGAGCCTGATCCCACAGATCTTTTGCAAACAGACCAGTTATATGTACTGAAGTAGATTTAATCTCAATAAGTACTATATGATTTGTCTGTTTATCCATATGARAAGCTGGCTTCTAAAATTCCACAATAAGGAAGCACGTTTTCTTCTCTTTTTTTCTCCAATTCATAAATCAAACTATCAGGATTTGGGTTTTTTTTTTAATACATAAGAGCATCGCACTTCAATGACTCAGGACCTTACATAAAAACAAACCAAACACATAATAATTTTTAACTTCCTGGGTCAAACGCTCCTTCCCAATACTTCCCCAAGCAGACTTGGATCACTCTTGGCATTTTGGTATTCAGTAGTATTACAGAGCCCACATTCTGTATTACAATTACTCTTCATTTGAATCAGGATGTTGAGTACAGGTTATTTACCCCATCTATATATTTCTAAGTATACTCAGTATACTTTGTTTTTCTCAGATCTGAAACTAATCAAGAGATCACAGTAYAGAGAAGATTACAGAAGATTACTACAGAATGTACAATCCTTAGTGAGTACTAKATGGAACAAATTTAGCTGAAAATTTCAATATTAGCAAGAATAAAAAATAATTGTGCAACATGGGTTACCTAGAACCGTATCTTTAAAATCCATCTGCTCCAAACTGGTTCTTAAATTCAGAAACAGTATTTGATGACTTAGGGAAATTAAAAAATTAAAATTAAAAAAGAACATACATTCTAGCTTGTCTTCTGGTCTTCCTCTTTCTAGCAGTGACAAATAGCACACAATATCTTTCAGCTGGATCATGTCTGGTAAATGTGAGTTGGCAGGAGTAGGAGGTCTGGATGTAGAGGTACCCTTGTTAAGTCTCAGACCTGGAAATAACCCATAGCCTTTGTTAGTCTGAACATATGATTAAGCARAAAATGAAAACATAATTCTTGCATACATTCATCTTTATTTTATGTGAATCTCAGGTTACCTCTTAATTTCAATATAAAGTTTTAAACAGTTCATGTTCATAGTTTATCCAGCAAATGTAGAATTAAAATAAGCTAACAAAAAAAA